GTCCCGTGCGCCGGGGCGGGTGGGAGCCGGCGCCCCCTGGAGGGGAGGAGCCCCGTGTCCCGGCCCCGGGGTGAGTGAGAGCCGGCGCCCCCAGGAGGGGGACGGCGCCATCTCACCTTGTGTATGAATTTCTCCATGCGGCCCTGCAGGCCCCACCAGCGGAAGTTCACCGTCACCAGCTTGTAGGCGCACATGTGGGGAGACTCCTGGTTACTGCCCAGTTCCCGCTAGGAAAGGACGCAAAGGATGTAAGAACGGTTCCGCCGGCTGAGAGCGGGCAGTGCCAGGCGCCCTGTTCTGGTCATTCCCTCTGGAGCAATTCTCCAGTGTCCAGCCCGGCGCCCACGCCCAGCCGGCCATGGGGTTAGACGGGGCACAAGGGATATCCAGGCTAACCCCTGGCAAGGTGTGGGATTTGTTGTGTCTCAAGGGCCGCTCAGAGTAAGGGGGTCCGTCCCTGCCCTGCCTGGCCACTAGCCAGAGATGGACCCATCCTCCAGGAACTTGGCTAGTTCTTTGTTGAGCCCTGTTATAGCCTTGGCCTTCACAACATCCCCCTGGCACCAAGTTCCCCAGGCTGTCCGGGCGTTGGGGGAAGAAATACCTGCTGCCAACTAATGTCATTGGGTGACCCCTAGTTCTTGTGCTATGAGGAGGAGTAAACAACACTTCCTTATCCACTTTCTCCACACCCGTCATGATTTTATAGACCTCAATCGTATCTCCCCTTAACCGTCTCTTTGCCAGTCTTATTAATCTCTCCTCACACGGCAGCCGTTCCATGCCCCTAATCATTTCTGTCCCTGTTCCGATTCCAGTCTGTCTGGTTGGAGATGGGGCAAACAGATCTAGACACAGTGTTCAAGGTGTGGGTGTCTCACGTGTGACGAAGGGGGACTGTCCCTTGTTATGTTATACGGAAGCCTATGTGAGTCTGGCTGTTTGGCATGAATGCTGTGCGTGCCTCAGTTTCCCTGTGTATTGCACCAATGTCCAGGTGGTGGGAATAAGGGGGGGTGACTTGCGGGGGCTGCTCCAGCTGCCTGCAGGGATGCTGTGGCCCCTTCGTAACCTGAGACCCAGGAGGGGGACGCGACCAGGTGACTCTTAGCCCAGGACAGAGGAGGAGCAATGGGCCGTCAGGGGCCGGGCAGCTGGAAGCGAGTCGGTCTCGGCTGGCTTGGGGCGCAGGGGGAGGCAGAGCCCTAGTTCTGGGCTCCCCTCCCCGCAAGATGGACTTGGCTGAAAGTCACAGATTTCTGTGCTAACAAGCTCTGCCCTACGCCGTGTTCCTGTCGGCTAATAAACCGTCTGTGTTACCGGCTGGCTGAGAGTCACGTCTGACTGCGAAGTGGGGGTGCAGGACCCTCTGGCCCCCCCTAGGACCCCGCCGGGGCGGACTCGCTGTGGGAAGCGCACGGAGGGGCATATGCTGAATGCTCCCAGGTCAGACCCAGGAGGTGAAGCCGTGTGAGCTTCTTGCCCTGAAGACAGTCTGCTCCGAGGGAGAGGAGGCTCCCCAGAGTCCTGACTGGCTTTGTGGGGAGCAGTTCCAGAGCATCGCCCGGGGACCCCCTGACACCAGGGATTTATATAGAGCTAACATGAGATTTTCTGTCTTATTATCTCTCCCTTTCCTAATGGTTCCCAACAGTCCGCTCCATTTTTTGGCTGCGGCTGCACATTCTGGATGTTTTCAGAGAACTCTCCGCAGTGCCGCCAAGATCCCGAGTGGGAACGGCTCATTCAGACCCCAGCACTGGGATTCTGGTTTCCAATGTGCATTACTTTGCATTGATCACCACTGAATTTCATTGGCCACCCAGTTTTGTGAGATCCTTTTGTAGCTCTTCACAGCCTGCCTGGGACTTAACTATCTTGAGTAGCTTTGTATCGTCTGCACATTTTGCCACCTCCCTGTTCACCCCGTTTCCAGATCGTTTATGACTATGTTGACTAGGACGGGGCCCAGAACAGACCCCTGGGGGACACCACTATTTACCCCTCTCCATTCTGAGAACTGACCATTTCTTCCTGCCCTTTGTTCCCTGTCTTTTAACCAGTTCCCAATCCATGAGAGGACCTGCCCCCTTATCCCACAACAGCTCCCTTTGCGGAAGAGGCTTTGGGGAGGGGCCTTGTCCAAGGCTTTCGGACAGTCCACGTTCACTAGACCCCCGTGTCCCCCTTGTGCACGTCTGTCGACCCCCCCCATACAATTCTCAGAGTGGGGAGGCGGATTTCCTCAACAAACCGTGTTCAATGTGACGATGCAAACAGGTGCAGACATGCTGCCCTGAACCCAGGAGTCCGGGCTCTCAGCCCCTCCCCTCTCTCTCACTGCTCTAAGCCACTAGGCAGCAGGTACCTTCCAGTCTGGACCGAGTGGCCCTCGCCCCGTCTTCACGGATGTGAAAAGAGCCGGATCTTCATCTGCTTTGTAATCCTGGCACAGAGAGAGGCAGTTAGTGCTGACCTGCCTCCAGACACCCTGCAGGCAGGGCTGGGCTAGCAGGGGGGTGCGGGTCGGGAGTGAGGGGCACCGGCAGAGCTGGGAGGGGCAGGGCTGGGCTAGCAGGGGCTGCGGGTCGGGAGTGGGGGGCACTGGCAGAGCTGGGGAGGGGGGAC